GTAAGAGTAACTCAACAGCCGGCAAAAATTAATGAAAATGATTGGAAAATCAATGGATGAAAAAAGAGCAAAAGTAGCTGTAGCTTTGGAGGCTAAAGGCATTTTTTTCAATTTTACTGTATTAAGAGGTCAATTTTCTTAGGAGTAATAATTATGTCACTAATCACAATATTATTAGCCAACACATCATAATTATATTATTTATCCTGGTATTTATATATATGTAGTCTAATCATAATTAATTTTGTTGATTTTGTAGGTAAGGTCAACCAATTGAAAAATCAAATAAGCTGAATCGTATCATTTAAAACTTTAAAAAATTATGAAAAAGATAATAGTATTATTTATTTTATTTTTTTGGTAAATAATAGTATTATTAATTAATTAATTAATTTTAGATCTACAATTGTTTAATACAGTGAAAATATATAACTCCCTAATCTCAAACTAATTATATTATTCGACATATGCATGCGAAAATAAAGAAGAAAAATATGTCTCTATTAAAACAAATTTTGTACATTTTTACAAAGTAAAATGAACCTTAAACTCTGATATGTAATTACCCCTTATAACACTTTTTTCCTTAATTATCTCCCATATATAATGCTGGTTGTTGTTGGAGTTGTTAAAATCAGTCCATAAAATTGTTAACTCTGTTCAACTAGTTTATGTTTGAACAGGTTAATAATCTACTTATTTTATTAAATGAGCTTATTTTAACTCGTTAAGTTCAGTTCATTTCAAATCTGAATTAATATGCAGTTTACATTGGCATATGAGAAATTTTATCGAAATATTTTTAAAAGGACATTTTCTTATTTGATATGTTTTTATAGTCATAATAATATAAAGGAAAAAGTTTAATTAGGTACTCAAACAAATTATAAGAACTAGATAAGTTGGGTTATGACTCGATTTCATTGCAGCCCAATCTGCTTTAGTCCAAATAACATTTAACCAGATCAATAACTAGTCCATTTGTTATTAACTTATTCTTGATTTCTTGTTTAACATTTTCAAATTCAGCTCAACTCGCTCATTTGACATTCCTAGATAGAGCTGTCAAAATGGGCTTAATCCATGGGGCTGGCCCAACCCAACCAGTTATTGGGGTAGGGTTGGGATAGGATTTTTCAAGCTCATTTATAATTAGAGCTTATAAGTTCAACGCCCCGACCCATATAAGTTGTTTGCCCTTGAGGCTTGATCGGGGTCGGGCTGGGGTAGGCCCATGGGCCTAAACTATTTATTTAAGGGTAACTTACAGAAATCTCGCTGGTGTATGAGCTAATTACTTAGATGCACGCTATGTTGTAATATTACGAATCTTATTAGATTTTGGTGCGTGTAAATACATGTATCTCGGGATACATGGACTCAAAATTAAGTGTAATTTGTTCTAGATACACTATATCCAAGTGGGTTCGCACGTATCTAGGATACATAGACAAATCTTGAGCCCTCACCTTCCTCCCATCTCGCTCGCCACTCCCTTATCTCATTCGTGTATCTGGGATGCATCACACTAGATACATGTCTCTTGCGTATTTAGTATTTTAGATGCATGTTATTCACAATAGACTTTGCTAGTGTTATTGAAACAACACCATTGTTTGTCATATTTGATTTGAAAATCTTATCATTTTCTTGATGTTATAGAATTTTAAGTTTGGAAAAAAAAGAAAAAAAAAGGGATAGCCCACCCCAGCCCATGACCCTTCTAGGGTTAGGTTGAATTGGACATTTTCAGGCCCTTCCAAATGAAGGGTCGACCCATCCTATCCCATCAAATTCCTTGGCCCGTGAGGCTTGGGCTGGGTGGGGATGGACTGACCATTTTTTACTACTCTATTCCTAGCTATTGTTTAACATTTGGTGTTCATTCGTTTTGAACCTTTGATTAATTTTTATCTACGCAATGAAAGGTTAATTATAAGAAAAATGCTACTCTTAATAATAAATTTTTAATTATTTTTATAACCCGACTTCAAAAAATTTAATCAAGGATAAAAAGCTATATCTATTGTCTCACAACTCTTAGTGACAGTTTTTTTTTTTTTTCCGGTTTTCTATTCGGATTGGTGTTTGTATTAGAGCTTCGACTAAATGGATCGCACACTATATATAGAACTTATTTTGAGGGTGACACTACTCCCATACCTCTGATTAAAAATGGAACGACGACGGTTATTTCTTTGGCTATCTAAAGTTTCTAATTTTGTTGGAGTCTTTTCCCTTTACCCTTAGTGGGGACAGTTGTTTTATTAGTGGTAAATCTTGTTTCATAATTGTGGATGAACAGTACATCCATCGTCATATAACACCCATTTTAATTTTGATAAGAGACAGTCAATGAAGGTGATTATTAAACTTATTGTGGAGCTTAATACTCTTGCTTAATCTCTAATTATCACATATCTTGACTGCCTTTAATATTAATTAATTAATCAATTAATTAATATATCCATCTTCCTTTTTACTACTACTATAATGCACTTTGTTGGGAATTTGCACTACACTGAGTAAATTAAAATAATATAATTATCTATATTACTAAAGTATTCTTCTTATCAACTTATATATATGTTCTCCTTTAATTTTTTATATTTTAATCCTTTCCATTTTGAGGAGTTAAAAGCATATTGTTGCTTTTAAGTACAAATCCAAATTATAATTGACATTTTACAGCAAATTAGCTACTCTACTTTTGAGTTAACAATACACTTTGGTCATAATTATAGTTTTTACCAGAAAAGGCATTATCAGAAACTTTAGTAGGGGCATAATTATGAATATATATTTTTTCACAAAAAAGGTACAACATGCCTTAGGAGTTATTATATATAGTAATTTGTAATATTAAAGTAATTATTTAAGAATTAGGTATCATTGGGTATTATTACTGTTGAAATATTTTAAGTACATTAGTGAAATAATTTGGGTGCCATTGGATATCTATTTACTATTGAAATATTTTGGGTATAGAGACGCCAATTATACTCATGAATTAATGACAAGCTATATTAATTTAACATGAAAAAAATCAATATTCTTGGACTTATATGTAATTATAAAGCAAAAAACAAAATTGCCATAAAGGCACAGAATTAGTTAGATAATTATGAAATATGATCGCAAAAGATTAATATATACCGTATATTATTTATATACATGATGACTCAAGTGTCAACGAAGATTATCTTACATGAATGAATATTATTTATATACATAATGTGTCGAGTGTCAACGAAGAGTATCTTGCATGAACTAATATTAGTAATAAATATCAGTATCTTGTTTTTTTTAAAACGTGTCAACAAAGAGTAAGGCAACAAATTCGATTTTATATCTCTTCGTATTCGGTGATCTCATCAATTATAGGTTAAAGTAATGCGTTGATTATAATTATATAATGCTTTATAATGAATCTAAGTTTTCATCGTAAGAACTTTGACACTTAATTATTTTGATTCTAACATATCTTTAATTTGTTGAAAACATATATGAATATGTGTTGGCGATATTTTTCAAGTGATTTAAAATATTATAAAAATTCTTCACAACTCAAAATGTATAGGAGTTGAACTCTATTGACAAAACTTGAATATCTGCATTGAAGTTCAACTAATTCAGATTCGCATCACGTAGGAAAACATTTCTTACCAAAAAAAAATTTCATATTCAAGATTTGAACCTAAGAGTCCAAAACATTTGGTCGATAAAATAAGTTGTTACATTTACTGCATCATATCCTTCGGTAGTAGAAACAAAACTTGTTAATTCATAAGTATATTCAACCAACTTCTTGGAATGCTAAAAGGCATCTTTCAACTCTTTTGTAGCTTGTGTTGTATTGAGGTCAGGTGAAGCCTCCTATATCACTTTTTTTCGAATACAACACCTTTTAGAATATTCTTAGAGTATAATTAAATAAAAAAGGATAATATATAGTGGATTATATAAGATGGTTGGTTTGACAAAACACTACTTAGGTCAACGTTTTAATGATTCTAATTGACTAAATTTTTTCCAATTTTTATCATATCTTGCTCTACCTAACATCAAGAATCTTTGCTTTGCTGCTAATTAATTCTTTTGATTTGATACCTTATTAGTTCATATTTCAAACCACCTTCAAAAAGAAGAAAAAATATATATCATGTGCTATAGCTTTCACTAAAACCTTAATTATGATAACCGTCTTTTATTTTAAAGCGTTTTAATAATAATAAGTTTATACTCTATATACTCTGGCTATTTTTGAATTTCGCGTATATGGAAAGCTTAGAGTAACTTATGGAATCAAAATAAGACTATATACGCTTTCTTTGAAACTGTTTATTCTTTGTGTTCCAATTTATATATCAGTTTGACGGAACACAAAATTTCTTTTTTGAAACCCATGATATGAAAAAACAAACCATAAACTATATATGGCTATAACCCAACATTTCATCAAGGATAAAGTAAGAAGTTTATAGATATTATTTCTAAATAAAGAAATATAACATCTTTTTTAGACAGATCGAAAATATAAGTACGAAAATATATATATATATCTATACCAAGTGTGACAAAGCTTAAATTACAACAGTAAAAACCCATTATTTACTAACAGAACTAGAATTCAAGAACATGCAAAACACAAATCCATCCCCATATCCTTTCATCTGCAGTAGCCTTCCAAGCTGATGTTAATATTTAGTCACTAATTTCCATCTTATTTTACTCATTATAACTAGTGTGTAAAGTTCGGCACACATAGCATCCCATTCCCGTATTAGCAGGATCCAGGAGAGGGCTGAACTCCAAGGAACGTAATGTAGACAGCCTAACTTGATGCAAGCATTAGTGTAATAGTGTCTGCTTTAATATCTCGAAACCTGTGACCTATAGGTCAGAATAACGAGAGTAGGATAGACATATATTAGCATATAGTATATATATTAATTAAAACTTGAAAGTAAGATTTTTTGCTTTATTTGTTGTAGATGAAACTATGGATAATTCCATAAATTTTGGTCAGCACCACCAATATAATCATCATCTGGAGGAAGGTGGTTGAGACGTGGTGGACTAAGTAGCATCCCTTCAGCCATATTCATAATAACATTTGGCATATCAAATATCAAATCTTCATCCATAAAATTATACTCATTATTATTAGGCATCAAATAATTATCCTCCACTTCTCTTGAAACCGCTCTGCTATTACTATTACTACTACTCCTCCCCCCTACTAACGCATCCCCGGCTGCCCCGAGTGCTGCGGCCGCACAGGCTGCAGCAGTCTGGATATCCCGGGGTGAGTTAGTAGCCGGGACAGGCAACGAGGGGGCCGAGTTTGGAAAATTAAGCTCGGCATCCCGACCCTTGAGTGCAAGTGCTGCCACGTCATAAGCGACCGCAGCCATTTCCGGGGTCGGGAATGTACCGAGCCAAATCCGATTAGGAGACCGCGGTTCCCGAATTTCTGACACCCATTTTCCGCTACTTTTCCTTCTTCTTATCCCTTTGTATACCGGGTGTCGTCCTGATCCGTTATTTTCCCCAGAACTTGACATCTGGAATTATAATATATTGTATCAATATATGATTATAGTATTTCGAAATTAGTGTAAGATTCCATTGGATTACGGAAGCCATTTATGGAAGAGGAAGAATAAGCCTAGAGCAGCCAAAATGAAATTGGATAGAAGTGGCAACCAGGTGTAAATGAACTGCTAGGAAATTTTTGGGTGAAAGCCAGAAATATTGTGCTGGATAGATAAAATGGGTTGGAAGGAAATATAAAAACCGCGCATATATACAAGTGTTAATTAGAATAGTGAAATATTTACAAGTTCAAAAAGGGATTTTAGATGTAATAGTAGTGTGTTTTTTTTTTATTTTTTATAGTGCAAAGGTGGAAGAATGTCATAGAATATAATGTGAGACGTTGATACGACGTTACGTTGGCCATATGATGTTAGAATCATTGCATTCATGTATTCAAATATAGGCAAATTAGGTGTCTTACTTGATTATTTTACAAGTGTTTGCACATACTTTATTTGTTATTACTTCATTTGTTTGGTACGACGGATAATGGATAATAATTTTAGAATAAAATACAGAACTATTTTATTTTGAGTACTTTGAGATATATATA